CCCGGCTGCCACGAGGGCCTTGGCGTGAGCACCCAGGCGGGGCGAGCCATAGCCGGAAGACCGAGAACGGGAGGCGCCGAACCCTTTCAGGAGCCACTGCCAGCGCCCATGATGTCCTGCAGCTGTCCCTATTAAAGAACTCCCCAACTTTTCTTCCCGAAGTCCTCACTTAAAGGGGATTTGGCCAAACGAAAGCCAGGCGGCTGAGGAAGGGCAGCGTGCAGGCCCAGCGAGAGCAAGCCTGCACCGGGCAGCCCACTGAGAAGGGAGCTGAAGGTGGGCAGTCAGCCCTGCCCCTACACACCACCCAGGGTCCCAAACCCTCGGCCTGGATCCACGCGAGCGACATTAAGGGCAGGGCCGTGTAGACACCCTGGGTGTGCGTGGACCTCGCCTAGCCTCCTCTCGTGAGGAGGCCCAGCCAAGCCCACAGAGATGGTGGGCAGCATGCAGGGCCTCGGGGCCGTCTTCTGTCTCCGCCACCGCTCGCCTCCACACCTCAAAGTGCACGCTGGTCAAGCTCCCACCAGAAAACAGCCCCAGGACCCCGCTCGAGCAAGCCAGCCGTGCGTGTTCCTACACCATTTGCAGGGCGTCTTTGTTAGGGAGGGGAAGGTTTGCTACAGGGCACGTGCGCTTGCTGGACAGACGGGGCGGGGAAGTGAGAAATCACCCCCGGGGGATGGCCACACCACAGTCCCTTCTCCAGTCTCCTCTCGGGCCTTGGGCAGGCACGCACACACGTCAGGTGGGATTTCCAGGTCACCTGGTCTGGGAATTGAACCGCATTGGCCATGTGGGAGTCCAGCACTTGAATCACCACGCCACCCGCCGGCCCCTGTGAAGCATCGCACTACAGATCGCAGTGGCTTTGCTGGTATTTACACCTTCCGGTCATGCCCCGGTGCAGGTGCTCCGACCAGCCTCTCACAGAGGAGGACATGGGAGGGGAGTGGGGAACTGGCTCGTTACTGCAGACTGGGCACGATGTGGCCGCCCAGCGTGCCCTGAACTGCTGGCCAGCCGAAAGCAGGGGACGGGCAGCCTGCATGACTGCTGCCGGGCTGTGTGTGGCAGGACAGACGGCAGTGTGGCTGCAGGAAAGCAGAGTGTCACTGTCCTGAGGCCCAGGGGGTGAGAGCCACTAGGAGCCCCTTCGCAGTCCCTTGGCTGCCAGGAAGCCCTCACTTCCTCCCTCCGGTGTTAATCCGTGTGGCGCCTCCCACAGCCTGTCCCCAGCCACCCTCACAGCCAGCGACTATTCTCCCAAGGACAAGGGCCCAGTGTTAGCTTTTGTACAAGGCTTGCCTCCCCCAAGGGCGAGAGCATTCCCAGGCAAAGTTCCCAGCTACCTTGGTCAGAGCTGGGGGCGCCAGGCCCTTCCACCTGCTCTGCCAGGCCCTGCTGCGCATGGCACAGCTGGACCGGCTGGACAGGCCCAGAAACCGCGTCAGAACCGACAGAAGGGGAATCGTCTCTGACAGACAGACCCTGCTCCTCTACCTTGGAAACAACACCTCCTGTAGGTTTCGCTTTGAGGGCGGGAACTGTTCTCACTCCCTTTGCCAGAACCACTGGGGGGCAGCAGGTGGCAGTCTGGCTGGGCTCACCCCTGGGCTCAGGCACGGGGTCCGGGGCCTCGGTTCTCACCTACACCGCACACCTTCGGGGAGCCAGGGACCGGAGGGTGCGGTCAGCTCCTCCTTCAATACCAGGGGCAGGGCCACTGCTATGCCCGCCTGTGTGTCTTAGTAGCACTTCAGGTAAACTACTGCTGCAAACACCACTCCTAACACTTCTGTGAAGCTGGGGTCGGGAGGTGCGGTCAGACAAGCAAATATTGAGGGGGGTACTTGAAGACCAAAATGGGAGGGGCCAGAGACCTGAGTTGGCAGAAACACCAGCGATCCCAACAGGGGGTCAAGGAAAGGGGGACCCTTGAAAGTCCCAGTGCCCCAGAGGACATAAGGGACCTGCCACTGCCTTTTTTTTTTTTTTTTTAAGGTTTTTGCCACACCTGTGCACCCCCGGAAAGAGAAAAATCGCCCTGCATGAGGAATGGCCACGGCGTCTCCTCCTGGTCCTGGGAATTTGGGTGCACACACGTGCCCAGCATGATCTTCATGCTGCCAGGTCCAGGCCTCGAACCCTGACTAGCCAGATAGGAGTCTAGCACGCTAACCATCACGCCATCTGCTGACCTCTACCCTATTACATTTTTAACATGAGACAGGAAATGCCTTCCAAGACTAAGTCACATGGGAAATGGTCACGCAGGGCTTTGAACTTCCCTTTCCGTTTCTACGGCTGAGCAGCAAAGAGGGCTGGTGGGATGCCGAGAGGCTTTAGGAAGGTGTGCAAGACCCCGCCTGGGGCTGCTCCCTCCGCTAGCCAGGCCACCCTGGCAGCAGTGCTGAGCTTGCACAAGGGCCTTGTCCTCACCAAGCCAGTTAGCTGAAGGCAGGAAAAGCGTGTGCGTAGAGAACACGGGGGGTGCGGTGGGGTGAGCAGATGTTATCAAGGTGAAAAACGGAGGGACCAGCAGTTGGCGTAATGGCTATGTCACTGGACTCCCACGTAGTCGACCATGGTTCACGTCCCAGACCCAGTGGCTAAAACTCACGCCGGGAATGTGTGCTTGTGTACCCAAGATCCTGAGAAGAGAATGGAGAAGGGATTGCGGTGTGGCCATCCCTCCTGGTGGGGGCGATTTCTCACTTTCTGTCTCTCTGTCTCTCTCTGTCTGGTGAGCGCACGCCCTATAGCAACCCCCCCCCAAAAAAAGGCAAAAAAAAAACACAAAAAAACACAAAAAAAGGAAAAAAAAAAAAGGGACATACAACCGCAGCAGGACATTGTTTCTGGGAGATTTTACAGCAACACCCGGAGGCCTCCCTGGGGCACCCAGAGCCCCCGTAGCCTGAGGCAGTCAAACTGGCCCTGGCCGCCCTGCAGTGTCTGCAGGATAGCAGAATCGGTGCAGAGCGGACAGAACAGAGAGGGCCACAGCAGGGCCTGCTCCTCTCCCAAGAGCAGTGACCTCAGGGTTCTGCAGAAACCCTGCAGTTCTCGCTACCGGAAGTCCCCCGCACAGAACAGGTATACCTCAAAGGATTGGGAGTTCCTCATTAAATTACTCAGAATAGGGACCAGGCTAGCCCCAGCCTTTAGTCACTACACGGGCCACGGTTTAATCTGAGTAGACCCCAGTACAGAGGCCAGCCAGCGGGGCAACGGCGAGCGGCTGAACTCACATGGCCCGCAGAGCAGTTCAAGTCTTGGGCCCAGCAGCTTGACAAATGTACCAGGCGTGCATGCATGTGCAACCAAAACCCCAAGAGGAGAATGGGGGATAAAGGATGGTGGTGTGGTGCAAAGAATGCAAAGCACCCAGGGAGTGCTGTCTCGCTTTCCGTCTCACAAGGGAACGTGCTCTGTAGCAAAAATTTTAAATAAAATTTTTAAAATATCCAGTACTGAGAATGCACTCTTTTCTCCAGTAGAGTGCTGGACTAGAGGCACACACACTTCCTCAACTTCAGTTTCCTCATCTATAAAATGGGTGAAAATACTAGGTCCAGGTTACGCTTCTATGAGATCAATACGCAGCACACACTGAACACATCGCTCAGCATAAGGCGCCCTGTCGGGTGCTGACTGTAACAATAAATTAAGTCCCACCCCCAGTGTTGGCTCCACCCTCCATCCTAAATCTGGCTCCAGTTACTCCCGAAGCCCAAGACCACACAGGAGTGGCAGCAGGTGGTGTGGCGGTTAAGGTGGTTGGATCCACATGGCCAACTGCACGGCTGAGTCCCTGACCCAGGAGCCTGAAACTTGCTGGGCGCGTGTGTGTACATGTCCCAAATCCAGAGAATGGAGAGGGGATCCTGGCGTGGCCCACCCCGAGGTGGTGCCTCTCACTTCCTCCCTCTCCCTCTCCCGCGAGCACACATGCCCAGTAGCAGTATTTTTTTTTTAAAGAAAAGGTGTGGTGGCACTGGATCCCACAGGGCCGACTCGCAGTTCAGGTGTCTGACCTAGCAGCCTGAAACACACGGCTAGGGCAGGCCCGAAGTCCAAGAGCAGAATGGGGAAGGGAGTACAGCATGACCATCCCCTCCTGGAAGCGGGAGAGGGTCTCTTCCCTCTCGGTCTCTCCAGGAGAAAGTGCCCTCTGGCGGGAGGGAGGAAAAGTCAGTTGATCATATGTACTTTGATGTATGCGTTAAGAATGGGAAGTTGAGAATTTCTTAAACTTCTGTGTCTACATGAGCGCGTCAAAGACTTGCCAAAAGCTAAGAAGAGAGCTGTAAGGGCAAGCACACACACAGTGGAAGTTCATACTCCATTTGGTTCTTTTTATTAGAAGAAATTGAGAATACAGCAAGTAGGGAAATCCCATGGTGAATGGAACCATCACACAGATGCCTTTCTGGAACCCCAACCATTTTTGATCCCAAAAAATGTGCTTTGTGGCTTCAGCAATTTATAAAGGGAAATGGGGAAATACTGAAAAAGGCCACTATATAATGGTGAAAGAATGAAGCTGTAGAGGTCCTAACCAGCCGAGGGCCAGAACAGAAAACGCGAAATCTGCACAGAGCAAGCCGGCCTCTGGTTGCTGAGAGTAAGGCATCCCGGCGCCAACCTGGCGAGAGTTCTCAGCAGCACTGGAAGACCAAGTGCACGTGAGGCTGTTGGTAGTGAGTTGCACATAGACACACACACACACGTAAGCACACATACATCCCTATACGCACACACACACACGCACACACACACACACACACACACACCCAAAAGAGGGAGATTTTTACTGGATTACACATTGGCGATGTTAATTTTGTTTTTCCTAAGGGCTTGTGCTATGTTGAACCAGATTCTTCCTGCTTTGGGGTGTGGGGTGATGGCCCAGAGACTGCTCCTCCTGTTGGTGGTGTTGCAGGGCTGCACCTTAAACCCTGCATCCCAAAGTGCATGGCCCAAGAGCAAGTCTGGCTTCTGATCTGTGCTGGTGCCCTTAGGAAGCTAAGGGCGCCTCCTCCCAGATGGCCTCGTGGATCCTACCGCACCACTTCTCAGAGGCATTAACACTGTTGCTTATTCTGTCAGGCCCTGCACCAGTTCACCCAGAGTCTTTTGCTCGGTCCACCTAGCACCAGGGCAGGGACCTTGTTCAGAACCAAAATACTCTGAAGTTCTTCCCAAGCCTAAAGTGGATTCTTCTTCCTAGATCCCAGCTTTTGCTGGAGATTGGCAGGGGAAAGACAGGAGAAAAATATCCAAGAAAACTCTACTGAATAAATACGAGACCCCTCCCATAGTCTCAACACCGAGGGTGGCAGCCCCACGCCCTGGGCCTCAGCGTTTAGTTCTGACACCGATCGTGCCTGATGTCACCCAATCCCTGGAGTCTTGGGTGGCAGTGACCTTAGACTCCAGTGCTATTCTGGTGGCTCATCTCTCAGATGCGCCATCAGACTCCCATGACCGTCCCTCCTGCCACCACTCTGACACCATGACAGGGAGCCTGGGACGAGAGCAGTCGCTCCACACTTCCAGCAGCAATTCAGGACTGTGGGCCTCAGGACCCACCCCGCTCCCTGTCAGACTGCGTGCCACACTGGCCTGCCAAGGAGCTGTGAGAGCGAGCGCCCCACAGCGGGCGGGGACGGTCTTACAGCACCCTGTGGGCTCTGCTGCTCATGGAGCACAGACACCTCACACAAGGCGCTGGGCTCGTCTCTCCCAGCCCACTAATGAGCTCGGGAGGCACCTGGGCACGTCAGATGCCCCTCATGGCTGGTTCGTGCCAGGAACTGTGATGCCAGGGAAAGTGACAGTGTACCCCAGGAGGAAGAAAGGCAGTTAGGGCAGTGATTGTGAATACAGGGACGTTTTCCAGGGTGTTCCAAAGCTCCATCGCAAGGACAGGGCAAACTGTCACCTCTCTCATCAGGTAAGAAACAGCACAAAACTCAACAGGAAGCTCAAGTAGCCAGGCCAGCCCTGTGCTAACGTCCCAGCACCTTCACCAGCATGACGGCAGGAGCAGGAGGCTCCCTCCTCCCCTCCGAGTCAGGCTCTCAATGACAACTTCACCAGGGCCTTAGCAGCACATCCTGTCAGCCACAAACACGTCCTACCACCAAAAAGACACGTCCGCTTCCCTCTGCCTCAGGTCTCCCCACAGCTCAGGCTGGAGCAGCCAGGTGACCACTGGGCTGGGGCCACGCTCTCCACCCCAAAGGGTCCAAGGTATGTCGGCCTTCACAAGGCACCTTGGTGCACCAAGACACTGGACATTCTGGGATATCACCTGACCCTCCCACCGTCACTTTGTGCAAAATCGAAACAGTGTGTGGTACTTGCATGTTTCATTCTGTACAAAAATCCTCCCTCCCTCCCCTGCCCATGTTTTAAACATTTATATAAATTCTTATTTAAACAGTAAGTTAGAAATCTTATTTACATTAATTTCTTTGTTCTCTCAAAAGAGCATTAAAATCACACTCCCGCCCCTTACCTGGATATAAATGCTCACCCAAATTGGTTCATATTACTGTTTTAAGGAAAGAGAAAAAAGGAAGAAGAACCACCAGCTAAACTGTTTCCCATCTTCTAGAAATAAGTATGAATGGATCAGAAGCCAGTTTGCCAAGGGTCTTGCAGAGCCTTTGATCGGTAGACCCCAAGAGTAAGTCCTGGTTTGGGCCATGTCTCCTCTTCTCCGAATTGATGCACTCCATCCTTTGAGGTATGATTATTTGTCTCTCTTCTCAGACATGTACCACGTGGAGCCCAGGGCACTCACAAAGCCTCGGAGGCTGTCAAGGTTCTGGGCTCCTCTGGTACTGGCGGAGTGGCCAGGAGGGAGGCCCACAGCATAGCAGGCCTGGCCAGGGTCACAGGCCCTGGCGCTGGTGGGTATCACAGTGCATCCTCTTCACTGCAGCCCCCGCCAATCATGAAACGGAACTCCTGGAGGTTGGAGACGCCATGGAAGTGAACGAAAGCGCCGGCAACCACAAAGATGTGAAACAGCTGATGAGAGTGAAACTGGGGAGACAAGAGAGGGGGAGAGCGGCACATTATCAAGTCCACTAGCGCGTCTGAGAGCATTCAGTCCTGGTTCACGCTGAGCACAGAGCTCAGATCCCAGGTGTCCACGGATCCGCCACCCATTAGGCATATCACGTTCTGCTGAGTTAAAAAGCAGCGTCTCCAAGAAACAGGTGCTGCCGCTAAGCTCCAGACAGGAAATCTGCATACTTAGCAGTGGGTCTCTAGGGAGCTCAGGAGCAAATGCCTCCCTTGCCAACAACGGAGCACAAAGGTCGCAAGAACCTCCTGGCGCGGAGAAGTGGGCTATGGTTAGACACGGGCCAGTTCTACTCCCTGCTGGTGAAGTGTCTGTCATACACAAGAGTACTAGAGCAACAGTCCTGGAGATGCTGTTCTGTAAGCAAAGCGAAAGAGGCTCCCAGGGCGGGCTGACAGATCAGGAGCAGGGTCTGCAGCGTTTCCTGCAGCTCAGAGTATGCAGTTACCTGAACACCACACTGGATCAAAGACTAGGCGACCAGTACCTTCACCTTCCTCCTCAAGCCACAGGCTGGTCGACAAGCAGGTGGTGTTATTTCTGATCTTACCTGCTCTGGTGAATGCTATTTTACACCTCAAGAAGGGTGACCGACTGCTCTCAGGGTACCAACATCGCACTATTTTCTATTATAGTTTCAAAACGTCAAAGTACAGTGGCATAGCATACTCATCCAGGCAAAGACAAATTTGACAAATGTAAACTAGAAGAAACCGAGAGTCGCACCCAAGAGCTGTTTCCTAGGAAACCAAAGGGGATTAGTTTTCCCAAAAGAGGGGGAAAAGGATACAAATCCCTCCTCATCAATGTCAGAATTATGACGAGGCAATCTCAGAAAGATAAATTGGCTAATTTGAAGCTCAAAAGATTGCCTGAGTTAAGGATTATCTTCACAGCTAAACTAAACTTTAAAGAGATTAAATAATCAGCTTAGTCTAGAATAATCAGCAATAGGCTGAGGAACAGAATTTCAAGGGTCAAATTCCACATTAAACAACACTCTGATTCTGTACAGTGTTTTTCTATTGAAAACGTCCCAGGTCCTCTTCGGTTATAAAATTTTCCATCTATCTTGGTCCTTTACATTTTCTTTTTTCCCCATCTCTTTCCTCCTTTCTTATCATTTATCACAATCTAGTTCTTTCTCCCTCTTCTTCCAACCAGGCAGAAACATACACAATCAATTTCTCATACAAACAATGAAATTTTTCCACCCCGAAGGGTCCAAGGTAACAAAAAAGGACCTTAGAAAAAATGTATTATTATTTAATTTTATTTATTATTACTACTACTACTATGTTTGCTAATAATGCATGTGTATTCACCAGAGAGAAGCAGACAAAGAGAGAAAGAGAGAGAAATGGAAAACAAGAAAGCAAGCCACCAGGTCTGGGACTCGAACTGTAGTCAAACATATGGGAGTCCAGTGCCTTAACCACTATGCCACCTGTCGACCCCAGACCTTGAAAAATCTCTGGTCCTTTGGTAAAAATCTTACCCATCTGAGCCCAGCAGGTGGCACAGTAGTTAAGGCCCGGGACCCCCATGTGGCCAACTACAGTTTAAGTCTAAGCACTCTGGAACAGGTGGCTTGAATTCAAGCTGTGTGCGTTTTAAGGTGCTGGGTCTGGGACCTGCACCATGGTCGCCTACATGGGGTCCGGCAATGTAACCATCTGCTGGTCTCCATTTCTTGCTTTCCATCTCCAGCAAATGGATATACCCTACTACAACAACAATAACAACAACCATAATGCTCTCTTCTCCCCCCCAAAAAATTATCTGGGGCCAGCAGGTGGCATGGTGGTTAAGGGTGCTGGACTCCCACATGGCTGTGTTTGAGTCCTGGATCTGGGAGCATGTGTGCGTGCGCGCGCGCGCTCTCTCTCTCTCTCTCTCTCTCTCACTTACTCTCTCCCTCTCTGGTCAAATTTAAAAAACAATAAATCAATCAATCAAGTTAAATAATTCTTAAAAAAAAAAAAAAACCTTATCCATCACTGTCATTTCATAAATCAATTGCTCGGTTGATGGGAAACAGAGACAAATGATGTTCAATCACTTTCCACTGGAGCCCAGGAAACAGAAGCATACTTCAACTGGACTGGGCCAGCCCCACAGCACAGGGGCTGAGCTCTGTGCAGAGGGAGCAAGACACCATCCGGCTGACCTGGCTTCAAATCCTGGCCCAGCAGCCTGAAACGTACCAAGCATGAACACACTTCCTGATGGGAGAGAGAGATGGAGAAAAGGAGGTTTGCAGTGTGACTGTGCCCACTGGAGGGTGCTCGCTCGTGCATGCACAGATGTGTGTGCACGCACACTCACACATGCAAAAACGCGTCTTTTTAAATGGCTTTAAAAAGGGGGGAGGGGAGGGCTATTTCAAATTCTTTTTAGCAGCCATGTGCCTTAGACAAGTTCTCTAACCCCCGAACCTTAGTTTCTTTATCTGTAAAATGAAAACAGTAATCGCACCTCATAGAGCTACCATATATTTATTTTAAATTATTATTTAATTTGGGAGCAACAGATGGCATAATGGTTATATCACTGGACTCCCATATAGTTGACTGCAGTTTGAGTCTTAGACCCGGAGACTTCACCGGGAGAACAGCAGTTGGCATAATGACTATGCCGCTGGACTCCCATGTAGTTGACCACGGTTCAAGTCCTAGACCTGGTGGCTTAAACTCATGCCGGGCATGTGTGCATGTGTGTCCGAGATCCCAAGAGGAAAATAGAGAAGGGACTGCGGTGTGCCCACACCCCTGGGTGGGTGATTTCTCGCTTTCGGTCTCTCTCGCTCTGGTGAGCACATGTGCCCTACAGCAAAAACCTATCAAAAAAAAAAAAAAAAAAAGTAAAAACAACAACTCATGCTGGGTGCCACATGCGTGCATGCGTGCCCAAAATCCCAAGAGGAGAATAGAGAAGGGATTGCAGCATGGACATCCCCACTGGGGAGGTGGGGGTGATCTCTTGCTTCTGTCTGTCTCTGCAGCAAGTGAACATGCCTTAAAGCAAAAATGTCTAAAAATTTAAAAAAATAATAATTATTTAATTTTATTCATCATGATCATCTCCCCGCACAGCACTCTGCACTATGCCGGGCAGGTGCTATCTGAGAACAGTGACGTAGGGACAGACCTAGGACTAGAATCCAAGTTCCCAACTTGGAGTTTCAATTTCTGACTTCGCTTCACTTCTCAATCTGCCTGGAAGCCACTAGCAGCCCCTGACGTGCACTCCATCACTCTGTCACTTACCCAGATGTCGCACTTGCCAGGGAAGAAGCGCTCGGGGATGCGGGCGGCATAGAGGGCCGCCCCCGTGATGTAGAGGCTGGCCATCAGCATCAGCCAGCCTATCTGCCCGATGGTGGCGGCCTTCAGCACCCCCTCCGAGATGACGTAGTGCAAGGTAGGGATGACTCCACTCAGGCCCAGGCCCAGAAACACGCCTGGAAACACAAAGACGGCCACATGGGAATGCAGAAGAGGGACGTCGGTGTTGTAGCACAGTGCACTAACTCATACATCAAAGTGGGGTGAGACATTACCTTCATGTTTAAAGGAAAAAGAAGGCTCTATACGCTCCGGGGCACTGTCACTCAGAACACAGCCATGTTCCACAGATCTATTTACAAAGGCAAGGAGCCTCCTGCTAAGAGAGCTTAGCTTAATAAATCAGCAATCTTCAGGATTTAGAATATGTTGGTAAGTATTTTAGGAAAGGACAGGCTAGGAGTTTGTTTAAGCCTCTCTAAATGCTGCTTTTTACAGAAACAGATTACAAAACGGAGCAATTTTACATATTTTATCTTCTCTTTGAAGCAACAGACATTCCTGAGGAGGCGGCAGCAGTGAATAGTCAGATACCCTGAGGAGGCAAGTGTCACCATAAAGCTAAAAGACATTCAAAGCCCTTCCTTTATACATGATAGAGCCATGTGCACACACATGACGGAGAGAGATGAACACCCTCCACAGGTCTGGTGGGGCTACAGCCCCTTCTACCAGCCCACAGACACGAGGCGTCTGTGCCTGTGCTCGGAGTGTTTCAGGAGACGGGGCCACAGATCTGCACTGCGGTCACCATGTGGGGCCTGGCTCCTCCTGCCTGGTACATCACCGTCGTCCCATGGAGCTGAGCCTGAACACCTTTTTATAAAAGAGATCTTTGCTACAGAGTGCATGCACTCACCCCCAGAGACAGGGAGAAACAGAGAGACAAAGCAAGAAATTACCCCCAGGGGAGATGGCCACGCCATAATCCCTCTTCTCCATTCTCCTGTCAGGATTTTGTGCACACATGCACACACGTGCGTCCGGCGTGAGTTTTTAAGTTGCCAGGTCCAGGACTCTAACCATGGTCAACTAAATGTGAGTCCAGCAATGTAACCATTACACCTTCTTTCAGTCCCAAAACTACTTTTAATAGTAATCTAAATCTATGATCTATAATTGAGCACTTAAAATTTAAAAACTGCCTTGAACAAATGATCTAATGAGGGTAAATGGGTGTGGAGGGCAATGCCTGAATAAGACAAAAACTAGAGAGAAAAAGTCTCTTTCTCTCTCTCATGCTGGTGCCCTATAACAAAAAAAAACAAAAAACAAAAAAACTTTAAAAGAAAATCCACGGGGCCGGCAGGTGGCATGGTGGTTAGGGGCGCTGGACTCCCACATGGCTGACCGTGGTTCAAGTCCTGGACTTGGCAGCTTGTTTTCTCATTCTCCCAGTCTCGCTCTGTCCCTCTCTGCTCAAATTATGAATAATGTTAAATAAGATAATTCTTTAAAAAATAAAAAGAAAAGGAAATCCAGACTATGTTACAAATAGAGGTAGGTAAGTAGTTTTATAACGTATACATATATACAAGACGTGTGTGTGTGCGTGTGTGTGTGTGTGTGTGTGTGTGTACGTAGGTATGACTGTAATAGAAAATGTGAAACGGCCTGCTCTGCAAGGCTGACCTACATGCGAAGGTCCCCGGTTTGTGCCTCGGGCCCTCCCTGAGGTGCCCCTGACCCGGGGCTGGCTGAAGCCGGGTGGACGATGCCATCAAGACCCTATTCGGAGTGCTGTCTAACATCCTCTCTCTCACTCATGGAAGGAAGGAAGACCGTGGCGGAAGGTCTTCTATCTGTCCATCAGAGAAAAGCACGGTGCCTACTTGTTTAGAATACAATCACAATGAAGCCTCATTTGCTTAAGCAGGGTTACACATTTTAAAATAAAAATATGAAACAAAACAAAAAGTAACAAACTAAAGAATCATTCACTACAAGAAGTGACTAGCAGTGACTTTTCTACGCTGTAAGAGTAAGGATCTCTGTTTATTTTTAAAGATCACAGAGCTGCACAGTCTCAAGGACAGTGCATGGCTGGCCATAAACTCACCAGCACTGCCCCTAACTCATCCCTGTATCCAGCCTGCCACCTCCCCCAGCACTCATTCTTCAAGACAATAAATGCACACTACCGCTGCATGGCAGGAGCTATGGGTTCTCATCTCCGCATCCCAAACATACAGGGTCATACTCCGCCTCACACAGAGCACAGCGGCCGACCTTTACCAAATGCCCCCCTGTGAGTAAACAAATGCCCAGTGCAAAACCTCCACAGGCTCTTACCTGCTCTCACTCCCCGGTACTGAGGAGTGGCAAACATGTCCCACTGGGAGACTATGATGGCAGCAATGCCCAGCACACAGATGACGATCAAGTAGATGAAGCAGGGTTGTGGATTACAGTAGAAAGAGTAATAAAGCCAAGGAACAAAACTTCCCATAATCAGAAGAGCAATACCAGAGTAATCCAGTCTAGGACAGAAAAAAAATTCACTTAAAACTAACGATACTGCCCACGTATTGCCCATAACACGACCTACTGACAACAGCTATGAGGCAAACTGGTTGCTTGCTTTAGTTTAAAAAATAAAAGTTCCAATCAGGCGGTATCAAGAATTTCCCAACTCTGCTGGATGTTTTCCCTTAACCCAACGACTCTAAATCACTGACCAAATACAGACTTTACAGATACTTACTTAGAGAAGAGTCGGGAGACCCCTTCTGAATGGCAGTAGACTGTGTGAAAGAGCCATGAAAAAGAAAGGCAGAGAATGGCTCCCAAAAAAAACAACCCAAAGACCACCTTCTCTTGCAGAGGGGCCACAAAAGAGATGTTTGGGCGAAACATATAAAAGATCCCCAGGCACAGGAAAAATACACAACCTAGGAAAAGAGTACATAAGAGAGGTGAAAACCATTCCTTTGTCAAGACAGTGCTGTATAATGATTCTATGCCCCATCTTTCACAGTCGCAACAATATCTGAATCAAAGGATCTGGGAGAAAAAACTTCCAGATAACTGATGCTTACCCAAAAGCTTGATTTGCTTTAAACACTGTTGGTATCATATACACTTGAGCTTCATAAACTGGGCATACAGACTATAGTAACTAAGTCATCTGAGGGCAGAATCCAAAAGAAACCAGACAACGCTGCCGCTACTTAGACTAATGGCGTTTACTTCGACCTCCAGATCCAGCGTGAAATTTCATTTACCAACTTTCTGGCACATATGCTGCAGCACAGCTCCCAAAGGTCCATGCCACTTGTGCTTTTGTTTTTGCAATGAATTCCAATCCCCAAGCTCTGCCAAGAAATACAGCTTTCCTTCACCAACAGCTGTCAGAGGGCTGTGTGCTGCTTCTGTGGTCCTCACAGACTAGCAGATGCAACAGTTACGGACAGTAAAATGCCTGTTTTCATAACCAGTTCTTCAATAGTTCTTCTCTACAATAAGATACCATGTTCTTATTGCTTAGAAAAGGGCCATGTACCTCAAAAAAGGCACGGAACTTTATAAGGGAAACATCTGCTAAGTGATTGTTATTTTAGGTTTAAAAAAAAAAGATCCTTTAGTTAGAAGCTGATTTTTTTTTGGGGGGGGGGGGGTTTGCTATAGGGCACGTGCACTCACCAGAAAAAGAGAGACAGAAAGCAAGAAATCACCCCCCTGGGGGGATGGCCACGCCATAATCCCTTCCCCTCTATTCTCCTCTCAGGATCTTGGGCACGCACACACATGTGCCCGGTGTGAGTTTAAGCCACCAGGTCCAGGATTCGAATCCAGGATTCAAACCGCGGTTGACTACAAGGGAGTTCAGCAACATAGCCATTACACCAACTGCTGGTCCCAGGAACAAACTTGGTTTGATTCTCTTTTCTACCCTCATTTCATTAGCAGGCAGAAACTAGAGGCACAGTAGAAACCAAATGTGCCCTAAAAAATGCAAGTCTAGAGGGGCCAGCAGATAGCACAGCTGTTACATCACTAGCCTCCCACATGGCTGACCACAGTTCAAGTCCCAGATCAAGTGGCTTGAAAATCATACCAGGTTTGTGTGCATGTGTGCCCAAGATCCCCGGAGGAGAATGGAGAAGGGACTGAGGTGTGGCCATCACCCCTGGGGGTAGTTTCTTTCTCCCTTCACCAAGCACAGGTGCCTTAAGGCAAAAACCTTTCTTAAAAAAAGGCAGGTCTAGAGTAAGGTCAGAAATCATTTAGTATATTCACAAAGTTGTACCACGGTTATCATCTAATTTCATAACATGTTCATCGCCTCTACTGGAAGTCAAGATGAGGTGCTGCCATTGTGCTCCACTCCCTCTTCCTCTAGCCCTAAGGCAACTACTGACCTTCTTGCTGTCTCCATGGATATGCCTGTCCTAAGCATTTCATATATTTAGACTCATAGACTATGTGGCCTTTGTGTTTAGATTCTTTGACTCAGCAAATGTTTTCAAGACTTAACCATGTTGTAACATATATCACTATTTCATCTCTTTCAATGGCCAAATAATATTCCATTGTATGGATATATCAAATTTGTCTTAGTGATTCATCAACTGGTAGCAGCTGGGATTGTTTCCACTTTTTAACTATTATGAACAATGTGCTAAACATCCATGTACCTGTTTTTGTATAAACATGCTTTCAATTATCTTGGATATATACCTAGGAATGAAAATGCTGGTAACTGCTGGGAACCAGCAGTTAGCGTAATGGCTATGTCACTGGACTCCCACGTAGTTGACCGCGGTTCGTGTCCCAGACCGGGTGGCTTAAAACTCACGCTGGGTGTGAGTGCGTGTGTGCCCAAGATCCCGAGAAGAATGGAGGAGAAGGGATTGCAGCGTGACCATCCCCCCTGGGGGTTATTTCTCGCTTTCTGTCTCTATGTCTCTCTGTCTCTCTGTCTGGCGAGCACATGCGCCCTATAGCGAAAACCTCTCCAAAAAAAAAAAAAAAAAAAATGCTGGTAACTGCTTAACTTTCTGAAAGACTGCCTAGCCTTTCCATAGAGGCTGCCCCATTTTGGACAAACATTCCCATTTCTCCACATCCTTGCCAAGACTTGTTACTTTCCATTTACTTAATTAAAGTCACTTTAATGGGTATGACATGGTATCACTGCATTTCTCAAAGCATTTGATCTATATTTCCTAAATGACCAATGGTAACAAACACCTGTTCATGTGCCTATCGGCCATCTGCAGCTCTTTTCAGAAGAAATATCTATTCAGATGCTTTGCCCATTTTTTAAATTGGGTTGTCTCTCTATTGTTGAGTTCTTTGCTAATTTCTTTTTGCAAATATCTTCTCCCATTCTGTGAACTGTTGCTCTCTTGATAATGCCCTTTTGTCATAGAAGTTTTTAATATTGATGAAGTCCAATTTATCTACTTTTTCTGTTTGCTTGTGCTTTAGGTTTCAATTCTAAGAAAATGTTACTTAATCCAAGGTCAAAAAGATTAATATCTATGTCTTTTCCTAGGAATTTTAGTTTTAGCTCTTATATTTACGTACTTATCCATCTTAAGTTAATCTCTATTTATGATATGAGGATGGGGTACAATTTCATTCTTTTACATATGACTACTAAGTTATCCCAACATATTCAATGACAAGACTATTTTCACCCTACTGTAATATATCTTTAATATAAAACAGTAGTTGCAGAAAATGGAACTAAAGTAGTTTATTCTGATGCAAAGAATTTTGAAATGTATACATCATTTTTTCGTAATAATCATTTTCATGACCTTTTCAAAGACTCCCCCTCGTACAATTGTGATGGAAAAATGTATTACAGTTCACATTCTATTTTAAGCCAAACTGATAAGAGTTGTGAATATTCTAAGGACTTTAAAAAATGAGCTCAATTCTATTAAGTAATATCCTCCTCTCAGTGGTCACTAAAATATTACACCACATTTTTTTTACTTAGGTTTGATTTAAGGACACTATCTGAAAATCTAGTTGAGAAAAATATGACTTTGTTGTTGTAGACTAGAATAACCAAAGTTAAACCAATATGAAGACTCGTCCTTAGAAATTTAGAAAGCAGTAAATTCTAACACATTTTTTTAAAGTTCTCTCCTTACCCTCAAAAACAAGAAATAGTGACCAGCAGTTAGCGTAATGGCTATGTTGCTGAACTCCCATGTAGCAGACCACAGTTCAAGCCCCGGAGCTGGTGGCTTAAATTCACGCTGGGCACATGTGTGTGCGTGCCCAAGATCCCGAGAAGAGAATGGAGGAGAAAGGACTGTGGCGTGGCCATCCCCACTGAGGGGTGATTTCTTGTTTTCTATCTCTGTCTCTCTGTCTTTCTGGCGAGCATGTGCACCCTATAGCAAAAACTTATTTAAAAAAAAAAAAAAAAGAATAAAGTAAATCCCCAATTCCTTAAACCACTAACATTACACACCTAAGAGATGCGTCCAGATGTTGCCAGTCTCTGTGTGTATTCGGAAAATGCTCTTAAAACAGGCCCGGAAGGAAGGCATAGGGGGCCGGTGTCCATGTAAAAGGAAGTCATTGTCCTTGAGCCAGTCTGGTAGCACATCGTGAGGAATCACTCGCCATCGACCTTCCCACACCTGGAGGAGGAGAAGCGCAGACATCCCTGTCATTTCAGTTGTCAATTTAGACGCAGGCGACCCCCTCCTACCACACTGATTCCTAACGCGAAATACCGTTTGGTGTTTTAAATTTGTTTACTTATTATTTATTTTTATTTATTCAAAATGTATTGTGTCCTATACTCTGAGTGAAAAACAGACTGATGAATAGCTCTTATATTTACGTACTTATCCATCTTAAGTTAATCTCTATTTATGATATGAGGATGGGGTACAATTTCATTCTTTTACATATGACTACTAAGTTATCCCAACATATTCAATGACAAGACTATTTTCACCCTACTGTAATATATCTTTAATATAAAACAGTAGTTGCAGAAAATGGAACTAAAGTAGTTTATTCTGATGCAAAGAATTTTGAAATGTATACATCATTTTTTCGTAATAATCATTTTCATGACCTTTTCAAAGACTCCCCCTCGTACAATTGTGATGGAAAAATGTATTACAGTTCACATTCTATTTTAAGCCAAACTGATAAGAGTTGTGAATATTCTAAGGACTTTAAAAAATGAGCTCAATTCTATTAAGTAATATCCTCCTCTCAGTGGTCACTAAAATATTACACCACATTTTTTTTACTTAGGTTTGATTTAAGGACACTATCTGAAAATCTAGTTGAGAAAAATATGACTTTGTTGTTGTAGACTAGAATAACCAAAGTTAAACCAATATGAAGACTCGTCCTTAGAAATTTAGAAAGCAGTAAATTCTAACACATTTTTTTAAAGTTCTCTCCTTACCCTCAAAAACAAGAAATAGTGACCAGCAGTTAGCGTAATGGCTATGTTGCTGAACTCCCATGTAGCAGACCACAGTTCAAGCCCCGGAGCTGGTGGCTTAAATTCACGCTGGGCACATGTGTGTGCGTGCCCAAGATCCCGAGAAGAGAATGGAGGAGAAAGGACTGTGGCGTGGCCATCCCCACTGAGGGGTGATTTCTTGTTTTCTATCTCTGTCTCTCTGTCTTTCTGGCGAGCATGTGCACCCTATAGCAAAAACTTATTTAAAAAAAAAAAAAAAAGAATAAAGTAAATCCCCAATTCCTTAAACCACTAACATTACACACCTAAGAGATGCGTCCAGATGTTGCCAGTCTCTGTGTGTATTCGGAAAATGCTCTTAAAACAGGCCCGGAAGGAAGGCATAGGGGGCCGGTGTCCATGTAAAAGGAAGTCATTGTCCTTGAGCCAGTCTGGTAGCACATCGTGAGGAATCACTCGCCATCGACCTTCCCACACCTGGAGGAGGAGAAGCGCAGACATCCCTGTCATTTCAGTTGTCAATTTAGACGCAGGCGACCACCTCCTACCACACTGATTCCTAACGCGAAATACCGTTTGGTGTTTTAAATTTGTTTACTTATTATTTATTTTTATTTATTCAAAATGTATTGTGTCCTATACTCTGAGTGAAAAACAGACTGATGAAAGACATATTTTTTAAATGGGTGTGTGTGTGTGTGTGTGTGTGTGTGTGTGTGTGTGTGTGTGTGTGTGTGTGTGTGTGTGTGTGTGTGTGTGTGTGTGTGTGTGTGTGTGTGTGTGTGTGTGTGTGTGTGTGTGCGCGCGTGCGCGCGCTTTCCTTAGGAATAGGAAAGGGTAAACAAATTTATAGGCCATGCCCTAAAAAAGCAGTTTCAAGCTTTCTTTCATTCTGGCTAAAAGAGGGGTTAGGGATCTAAAGTTCCACCCATGTAAAACTCTCTTCATCCTCATGACAGAATTTATATGATTGTTCTTATATTTAATATTCCTGTGGCAGAAAAAGACTATATAGCGAGCCACACTGTTGTGGCGTATGGTGAACCTCTCCCTTTTTCGTACTCTCTTTTCTCTTCCTACCACAGCAGATATGAAGAGGCAGAAAAGAAAGGGCACAAGAGTCAGAATCTTGGACCTCTGTGACATTAACTAGTTGTATGAGCTTTGATTAATTATAAAATAAGCAAGCCTCAGTCTCATCGCTTCACTTAAAAAAAATGAGAATAATGCTTCAATTACTTCCTAAGGAAATAATAACAACCACATAAAATAATACAAAGCATTTCATAAACAAGTCAGCAATTCCCAGCATCTACCTCAAAGGTGCTATCTGAGCCTGACCACAGGCAAGGCGACCTGTTTGTGAGTCAGTGACTAATACACACTCTTCCTCCTGCAGAAGCACAAAGGAGCTGCACGGTGGCTGCTCTTCTAGCCCTTACCTATGTTCCCTTTTCCCTGCTCCTGCTGTTCCTCCCCACCAGACTCTAGAGGACAGGAGATCCAGGTTATGGCATCCCCTCCTTAGAAAGACTGCCAGCCTCTGCACACTGCTTTAATGTCACTTAGCCTAGGGAACATGCACCACAAAGATCCCTTACTCCTAAGCTAACTAACTCTGTAGCCAGAAAGACGTATGGAAAAATGCTAGGCACACGGTCCGCCCTCCAGTTAACGTGGCCCTGCAGTCCTTCCTTTTTTACCCACAGACCAAGAATCCAGACTACAAAGGGGCAGAGTTCACCTTCAGACAATGATCACCCCCTGTCCCCAGGTTCTTGAGACAAACAACAGAGCTTAGCCAAAGAAGCCAAGGAGCTTAGCCAAGAAGCCAAGGTGCTCCTTCTCTGCTATGCAAGACCCCACCTGTTAGCCAGCTAGGATGCCCTGTGCCCTTGATTCCACAGCCTGTTTCCTGTTCTCTGCTTACTCCTTAATGATGACATTTGTAAGGACCAATCTGTGGAACACCACCTCTACCTCCAAAGAAAGGACTAACCATTTAAGAACAGATGTGGCCTTCTTAGCAAACACTCTATCAGACCCTTCCCTGCCTCCCCACAACCTTCCAGCTCAAAACTTAGGGCCTAGAGTTATTGGTGCTAATATGGCCATTCATGTTCCTAACATACACTAAAACAAAATAATGCCATAAGACTAATCTAGCTGTTTCAAGCCTGTTGCTAATAGTATTACTTGTGAATAGTAGCGGTATGAGAGCGTCCATAGGACTTTATGGAGAGAAAAGAGAAGATACCAATATACAATACTGCTAACTCTACTCTCACGTTGGGAGAATGTGTTTTTCTAAAAGGGAGACGGAGGTAGAAATACATCCTCACATCTTCAAGGCAGTTCACAATGTACAAACAGCTCCACTGTGGCCATATTACAAGTGCTATTATGCTCTAAATAAATAAAGTGCTATTACGCAATCACACGAAGACAAAAAACAGTCAAATGCTCCCTTTTTATAGCCAGAAAGTGTGTGCTCAGTGTCTTACTCGCCATACACACATATAATGTCAGAGTGATCTTTGCCCACTGCTTCTGAACATCCGCGTGGGTTGATTAAATCCAGAGCCGAGGTGCACTTTCCTAGTCAGACTGCAACTAACGACACAGCCCCACGCCCCCGTTTTCTACCTGGAGTCATATGCCAACACAAACAGGGATCCTCTTTTACCTTCTAGGAAAAAAGAATAGGATCCTGGCCTAGCCAAAGACACTTTATTTATAAGCCTGATAAAGACAGTGCCTAGATCAACCATCCTAGCAATGGCCCACTGGATTTCTATCAGACCATAAAATGTACACATTCACAAAAAGACTTTTCTTAGAAACTACCCACAACAAACCCTATTCATACACAGGCCTGGCTATGCTGGTAAATGGAAGTCTGGGGAAAAAAGGTCAAACTTGGAAGCCCTAAAGACTAAATTATTTTCCCTATTTCTGTAAGAATACAATAACAATTTTTGTTCCTTCTTCATTTTTTTGTTGTGGTTGCTTTTCAAAGTTAGGTTAGGATAGGGACCAGCAGTTAACGTAATGGCTGTCGCTGGACTCCCATATAGTTGACCGCAACCGTGGTTCGCGTCGCGGACCCGGTGGCTTAAATCTCACGCCGGGCGCGTGTGTGTGCATGCCCAAGATACCAAGAGGAGAATGGAGGAGAAGGGATTGCGGCGCGACCACCACCTAAAGAAAAAACCCCCCCCAAAAAAAAAAAAAAAAAACCAGTTAGGGTAGGATAAATCTCACATTATCTGTTTGTTTGTTTGTTTGTTTGTTTTCCTTAAGAGAGATTTTCACTATAGGGTCTGTGTGCTATAGGGTCTGTGTGCTCGCTAGAGAAAAAAACAGAAAGCAGGAAATCATTCCCTGGGGGCATGGCCATGCCACAATGCCTTCTCCTCCACTGTCTTGGGATTTGGGACATGCATGCATGCACACACACTCAGCATGAGTTTCAAGCTGTTGGGTCTAGTCATGTGAGAGTCCAACAATATAACCATTATTCCATCTGTTGATCCCCTCCTTTTTTTTAAGAGAGATTTTTGCCATAGAGTGAGTGTACTCAAAGAGACAGAGAGAGTCAGAGAGACAGAAAGTGAGAAATCAGAACCAAGGGGGATGGCCATGTCTTAATCCCTTCTCCTCCAGTCTCCTCTTGGAATTTTAGGCACTCATGCACATGCACCCGGCGTGTTTTAAGTCACCAGGTTCAAGACTCTAACTGTGGTTTACTATGGGAGTCCAACAATGTAACCACACCATTAGCCTGCCCCCCTTTTAAAAAATCAGTTTGTAGCAAATAAATACCCACTCTATTCTCCTATTAGCTATTAAATTAAAAGTTTTATTTGCCTTATTCTTTGCTCTCAGTTCAGAAAGGAAGGACAAAAGGGCAGTCAAGTTAGCTATAATATCCCATTACATAATAATAAATCTGCCAGGACCAGTAGATGGCCTAACGGTTATATCACTGGACTCCCATGTACTCAACAGCTTAAAACTCACACCAGGTGCATATGCAAGCATGCTCAAAGTCCCAAGAGGAGACTGGAGAAGAAAGGATTGCAGAATGGCCATCTCCCTAGGGGAGTGATTTCTCACTTTCAGTCTCTGTCTCTCCAGCGAGCGCACACACCCTATGGCAAAAATCTCTCTCTTACAAAAAAAAAAACAAAAAAAGGCAAAAAATCCTAATGGCCCAGATATTAAATATGCAACTTTGAGATCTTTCTTCATACCAAATTTGTTTTCTGAACAACAAAATACATCTTTTGGTCTAATTCTCCCAAGACAGCAATCAGTAAAATGGAGCTATTGTTTTCGGCATCAATAATTTCCTGGACTTGGAGGCCCGCAGGTGGCATGGTGGATAAGACACTCAACTCTCACGTGGCAGACCACAGTTCAAGTTCTGGATCTGGCGCCTTGCTTTCTCATTTTCTCTCTCTGGTGAGTGCACATACCCTATAGCAAACTTTAAAAAATAATGATGATAATAAATAAGATCCTAAAAAAAATTCCTGGACTCTGTGTACACCCATAAATGTTAACACTCACCCAACAACTCCCACATAGCCCAAAGTCCTAGAAGAGGTGTCAATATTCAGGATCAGAAAGTTCTCTTCTCATCCGTGATCTAAGTCAATGGCCCCAATTATCACCAGCATTTGGTAGATGTGGGAAAACCTAATTTAGGTTTCAGATATAAGACTAAGTGTATAAAAAGTTTTGGTTCCATAAAACTCATGAAAAGCTAAATGTCACAAAAATCTCTAAATAATCAAGATTTCCCCAGAAATTTTTAAATATACCGTCTGAACTGAAAACATTAGATGTTCATGAAAACTGGGAAATGTGTACCTCGGAAAAAATCTGATTACCTACTATAGCCCTAGATAAAAACAGCACATTTGCCCAATACAGTCAAACCGCAGAACTGATTTAAGGAACTTAAGGATGCTATTTTAGTATCTCCAAGCCACTTTCAATTTTGTTTCATTCTGTCTTCTTTAAACTATCAACAAGACATTTACTCTGTGAACCTGTATCAAGAAAGGTTTGTTTCCCAACTGAAGATTCCAGTTTTATTAGTACTTTATCAAGGCTGCTGCAGGCAGACAAATGAACCAGTTTAAATGCGAGAGACTACCTATGTCCCTACTTTGCCATAGATTTTCCCCAAAGCAAACCAAAGACTAAGGCACTACCACCCTCTCTTAAGGGTCTCTATGTGCAAGGGTTAAATCCATAGTATGGCAATGACAGGAAACTGCCATCTTACCTTACAAACAAACTCTTCCATTCTCTCCATCGCATGATGTGCTTGTAAGAGAGGGGACATGCCCATAAATCCCTCGTCTTCCTGAGGAGCTTCATCATTGCTCTCCTGCTCTTCAGAGCTCTGCAAGGGAATCACAGAAGTAGTCAAAGACAGAGTATGGGAACCACATTACAGAATAAACACACTTTTCCTCGCAGAATTACAATTAAATTCTCTTAAAGTCAAAAGAAGGGCTCAGATTATATCAACAATACGGTAAGGTCAATTTGTTATAGAAACACCAGTATTAAATGAGCAACAGTTACCTAATTTTTCTCTGACAGATAAATAGTCTACCACAATAGCATCTCTGTGTTTATTTCAGTTGCAAAATCCAGGAGTAGCTTTACTGGTTTGCTTTTCATTTCAAAGATTATTTTCACAGACCACATAATATTATTATATAGACTTGAAAAGTTACTGAGGGGAGTATCTCCAAGAATTCTACCTGATACACAAAATAAACTGTAAATACAATGTGGAGGTGCTCTAAGGACAAACAAACAACAACAATAACAACAAAAGGAAATGAGACAAAAACATTTACTAAATTTTTAAGATATTCCAAGCAAGAGGAAAGGGCTTTGTATAGGTCATCTAACCCAGACAGGCATCTTACAGGATAAGGATTCTTCTCCCATTTAACATATTAAAAATACTGAGCGGGCCAGGAGGTGGCATGGCGATTACGGGCACCAGACTCCCACATGGACGACCGTGGATTGAGTCCCAGACCCAGTGGCTTGCTTTGTGTGTGTGTGTGTGTGTGTGTGTGTGTCTCACTCTCTCTCTCTCTCTCCCCCTCCTTCTGTTCCTCTCTGGTCAAATTAAAATAAATAAATAAATGAAGCTAAATTATAAATTTCCTTGAAAAAAAGAATACTGAGCAAAGAGGCTAAATGAGGTTTTCAAGGTTAAAGCTAATAGAGGGAAAAACTCAAAAATCCAAAATCCATTGTCCTTCCACATTCTCAAGATCATTAACCTGTCTGTGGAAAAGAGCAAGAATTAACAATCTAGAAAGGGATAAATCACTAAAATGAAGATTTATACTTCTAAACCAAGCTTGAACTTATACCCTAAAATCCTAAAGCTACCCAGCCATGCCTTCTTTCTAGAACACCATTCAAACTCATTAGGCAGTATTCCCCCTTCCTGCAGTATGTAATGGACTTGGCTTGGTTCAATCAGGTTACTGCACTAGTCTTTTTGAAAAGCTGACAGGTTGAAACCAGCCTTAAATTTAAAAATTAACACTGTGAGGTAAAGGCATTAACAAGTTCATATAGCTAACAAATATAAACACAGGGGTTAGTGGAAATTAAGAAGCCTAACAAAAAAAGTGATGGCTGAAGAATAAGCACTGATGAACATGTAGCTAGTATCTTCCAACAGAATAATTCCAGTATCATTCTAAGCAATCATTCATTCCGACTTGCCTAGAAATATATATATTGTTTGTATTCACTAGTTACTTCTATCAAAGTTTGATGGAAAAGAGCTTTAAGATTGTGCAAATTGGGACAGCGAGTGGCAAGGTGGTTAAGGTGGATAGATCTCACATGACCAACTATGCAGTTCAAGTCCCAGACCCAGCGTTTGACAGGCTAGGCATGTAAGCATGCATGCCCAAGATCCTGAAAGGAGGAACGGAGGAGAAGGGATTGCAGCATGACCATCCTCCCGTGGGGGAGGGAAGGTATGCTTTCTCACTTTCTCTTTCTCTGTCTCCAGTAAGTGAACACACCCTCTAACAAAGTGTGTATGTGTGTTTGCGTGTGTTTTAATTCTCACATAGCAAGTCTCTAAATCTTCACTAAATTTCCTAAGTAGACTTCCCTACAAAACCAAAATTAAGTGATGGATACACGGGAGTCTATTTAAAAATTAGCTTCCTGTAATTAATATACAGTGGCATTCTTTTCTCTTTAATTTTTTTTGAGAGGTTTATGCTATAGGGCTCGTGCGCTTGCCAGAAAGACAGAGACAGAGAGATAGAAAGTGAGAAATCACCCCCCAGGGGGAATGGCCACGCCATAATCCCTTCTCCTCCATTCTCCCCTCAGATCTTGGGCACGCACGCACATATGCCCAGCGTAAGTTCAAGCCATCGGGTCCGGGACACAAACCGCAGTCGACTACATGGGAGTCCAGGAACATAGCCATTATGCTAACTGCTGGCCCCAATATATAGTGGCATTCTTGAGTTTGGTTACTAAAGCAAGCCAGTTGTCCTTTTTTTGAGAGGTTTCTGCTATAGGTCACATGTGCTCACCACACAGACAGAAAGTGAGAAATCACCCCCCAGGGGGGATGGCACACCACAATCCCTTCTCCTCCATTCTCCTCTTAGGATCTTGGGCACGCATGCACACACATGCACCCAGCATGAGTTTAAGCCACTGGGTCTGGGACTCAAACCATGGGAGTGCAGTGACATAGCCATCATACCAACTGCTGGTCCCAAAAAGCAAGCCAATATGACAGAGTAATTTCTAATTGAATGTGTAAAAGTTTTTAATCTCCCAATTTATGAAGATGACTCTGGAGCAGAGAAAAGTAGGACAGCCATAAAGGCTGATCTCTTTATTTGACATAATACCTTGAAAACTTAAAGAGATGTTGGAAAAAGCCATAAAATTGAACCTCAGGGCAAGCTGGTTTGAAATATCTCTTTCATGTTTTTGTCTAAAAGCTTACGAAATAGGTGCTGTATGATGGCAATGCGGTGAAATGTGGACACCCTATGAAGATGCCCCACATGGTAAGGTTAGGGTTTGGGCCCAGAGGCCACCCAGAATACACCAGGCACACACAAGCCCACGATGCAGGGCTGGATGGGGATACCAAGACCCTGTTGGGGGTGTGTCTGTTTCTCACTCACAGAAAAAATAAAACTTCCTAGAAGACTCAACTGTGAGTAAATATGATGTTTTCATCACATTCGTTCAACAAATTAATTTTATTACCCTACTATTCCTCAAAGAATGTAAGATTTCTCTCTACAAAGCATGTTCCTGAGTTCTTAACACATAAACCATTTTAATTTTTTTTAAGATTTAATTTTACTTATTTAAAAAAATTTTTTTAGAGATATTTTTCCTATAGGGTATGTGTGCTTGCCAGAGACAGAGAGACAGAAAGCAAGAAATCACCCCTGACGGGGATGGCCATGCTGCAATCCTTTCTCCTCCATTCTCTTCTCGGGATTTTTGGACATGCACACACATGTGCCCAGTGTGAATTTTAAGCCACCGGGTCCAGGACTCAAACCGCAGTCAACTACGTGGGTGTCCAGAGACGTAACTATTAATTACGCCATCTTCTAGTCCCTTATTATTTTTTAACTTGCCATTATATAGATATACACTTATGAGAGAGAGAGAGAGCGAGCGAGAAAGCAAGCCCCAAGGTCCAGGATGCAAACATGGCCAACCGTCTGGGTGCTCAGTACCTTCACCATACCACCTGCCGGCTCCAACATTAACCACTTTAAATAAAATAGAAGTACTGCTTTCAGTACTGTTTTCTCTTTTTCTTTTTCTTTCTTTTTTTTTTGGGGGGGGGAGAGGTTTTTGCTATAGGGCGCGCGCGTGTGCTCACCAAATAGACAGAGACAGACAGAGAGGCAGAAAGTGGGAAATCACCCCCCAGGGGGATGGCCACGCAGCAATCCCTTCTCTTCCATTCTCCTCTCGGGGTCTTGGGTGCACATGCCCACACACCCGGCATGAGTTTAAGCCACTGGGTCCAGGACGCAAACCGCGGTTGACTACAAGGGAGTCCAGCGCCCTAGCCATTACGCCAACTGCTGGTCCCTCAGCACTGGTTTTTAAACTGGTGGTGAGCAGCTTAGTCCCTCAGAAAGCTTTTTTTTTTTTTTTCCGAGAGGTTTTTGCTATAGGGCGCGCGCGTGTGCTCACCAAATAGACAGAGACAGACAGAGAGGCAGAAAGTGGGAAATCACCCCCCAGAGAGGACGGGCACGCCGCAATCCCTTCTCCTCTGTTCTCCTCTCGGGATCTTGGGCACGCACGCACACGCGGGTCCAGGATGCAAACCGCAGTCGACTACGTGAGAGTCCAGCGACATAGCCATTAAACTAATTGCTGGTCTCATCCCTCATAAAGCTTTTTTAAAATACAGATATCTGAAAACCATACATTCTGATTTTGTATGTCTGGAATAAAATCCTGGCATATGAATTTATTTTCTTTCTTTTTTGAGAGCGAGGTTTTTGCTATAGAAGGCACATGCACTCGCTGGAGAGACAGAGAGACAGAAAACAAGAAACCACCCCTGGGGGGATGGCCACGCCACAATCCCTTCTCCTCTATTCTCCTCTTAGGATCTTGGGCACACATGTACAAGCGCCCAGAGTGAGTTTTAAGCCACCACGCCTGGGACTCAAACCATTGTCAACTATGTGGGAATCCAGCGATGTCTCTAATTTATTTTCTTTAAAGGGCCATATGTGATCAGATGAACACTTCTGATAGGTTTCTGTATTTAAAGAAGGCTGGAAGTAAATGTACAAACAGATAAACACTCTGTGATGCACATAATTATTCTAAACCTTACTTTATACATGAAGAATTTCACTTGTTTTAAATTAAAAAAAAAAGACATCTATGTTGCTTTTTTGGATTATGCTTTTATCCTTATGCATGGCTAACATTTGATACAACCTAAGGGCTCTCATATTTTTTTTTTAAGAGGTTTTTGCTATAGGGTGAGTGTGCTCGCCAGAAAGATAGAGACAGACAGAGAGACAGAAAGTGAGAAATCATCCCCCGGGGGGATGGCCATGCTGCAATCCCTTCTCCTCCATTCTTCTCTCGGGATCTTGAGCACACATGCACACGCGCCTGGCGTGAGTTTGAGCCATCTGGGTCCAGGACTCAAACCGCTGTCAGCTACATGGGAGTTCGTCAACATAGCTATTATGCCAACTGCTGGTCCCTAGGGCTTTCATATTTTTTAAAAGAAGTCTAAGTAATCTAGTTAAGTTCTACATCTTTAAAAAAGGGAAAACACACTCAAAGTTGATTCAAGACTCTTAGAAATATAAACGACTGCAG